GAAAAATGAGAAAGAATGAAAGATGAACAAAATAGAAAAAGAAATGGCTGACTACCTCGAAAGGTCATAAAAGTTCGTGTAAGACTAGAGATCGAAGAAATGAGAGCTCTGTCTTAACAACTGTGCTTCCTCATCTTCATCCACTCCACTATCTAAATTGTAAATATATGTTGAACATTTTGTGAAATTCATTGTATATTTTGACATCTCTCTCTTTCTGCATTTTTTAATTATTTTCTCTATGTGATTGTAATACTACATAATAATAGTAAACTTACATATTATTTCCTTCTTCACTTGTGTGTATAAATGTGGTCCGATTTTCTTACATTTTGTTTGTTGGTTGTGCTGGTTCTGATTCCAATACAGCCGTCTGTGCGACAGCGACCGGCTCAGAAAACTAACAGGACGTAAAAGGATCTTCACATCGGTTTGCATCAATGAAGCGCATGAATAATAATGAAAATAAGGAAAAAATCCTTGAAATTTTCGAAAACAAGCAAAGTATTCATATTTATTGTTTTTCTAAAATTTCAAAACTATTTTTCTTCTTACTTTCCATACTTTTTTCCTAGAAGTATTCGGTGTTTTCAATTAAAATTTTTTAATGAAACCATAAAATTATTTGAGTATTAGCAATTCTATTGGAAATTGATGCATGAGATGAAGCCGAATGCTTTACTAAACTTATGGTTGAGTAAGCTGCTACAAATAATTATGTGATATTCATTTACAAATGTGTCGGAGTCATGCCTATGTTAGGGATTTGAACGACGCAACTGAATTTATAGAAACTTCATTAACTTGAGTCTAATTTTATATTTAACTTTCATTTCAAAGCAGAAATTTAACCTCCAGATACCGTGGCTATAGTGATGAAATGTGCTGTCATCTGTTTCACAATAGAGTAGCACATTCTAGTGAATGGATGAATTGTTTTTCTTCATGTTACTTCTGTCTTTCAAAAGTGCTTTTCAGCTTTTTTCCAAAAATTTGGAAGATTTTTCTTTTCTTTTTGTTTGCTTTCTGCTTTGATTCTTTTCTTTATTTATTATTATTTTTCAAACACCCTCACCGTAAATATATGTTGTCTAAACACGACGACGAATTTGAAATTGGTCTGTTGATTTTTTAATTCTTTTGTGTATTAACAGAAGCACAAGAGGTGAAATAAAGCGCAAAGGATAGAAAATGAACGTTGTGTGAATAAATAATAATGAAAAATGCTTTTTGTAATTTTTGTTTTTATTTTTAATAGAAAAATATTATATATGTTTTGTAAAGATGAGGACGAATCTAGAAAAACAGAATGAAAAGTGTAGTCCATCTGAGTCCCATGCTCTGAAGCTGAAATCCAGCATACATAAAAAAATTCTGGTTACGCCACTAACAAACACACCAAAATTTGTGGCCTCGTGATATGATTATCTCCCATAAATTGAATTAGAACTCTCCTTTCGTAAATTAAAAATGCGGAACGTTCTAATGCACGTTCACTTGGAAAAAAAATCTGTATGACAAGTAATACGCATGATATTCGGACATGATAGCAGAAGAAACTGTGTGAAAAAAAACGTAGGAGAGGAAATGGCTTCAAGTTGACTATTTTATGGTATTAGAAGCGAAACAAAGTTAATGTTAGTAAAATTATAAGAAAGCTTTGTCGTTACTCGATCTAGAAAATCGATCGAGTTTCTATAAATAATTCCTAAGAATGTGGATAATTAATTTTATTTTCTATAAAGCAGAAATTCGAGGAGAAATTTTCACTTTATAGAAATTACTTATCGAGTTTCCAGTTTATAGAAATTCGTACTTATGGAAATTCAAGACGATTTTCTAGAAAGTAGAAATTCAACGATTTCTATAAAGTGATAGAATTGGTGAGGAATTTCTGTAAACTAGAAATTCTTCAGTAATTTTCCAATTGATTTTCTCTAAAATGAAAATTAATTCAAGATTACAGTGTAGTATTCTTGGAGGCATTAATAAAACACCTCGAGAGCGGATCAAAAATGGAGGAAAAGGACTAAAAAATGTCTTGCTTACTCACCAATGGCATGTAAGGGTAACGAGCTACAAAGAAAAAGATTTGTTGATAATAAAATATCAACAAGTCAGCATCGATGTGCATACATCTATATTTTTACTTCTATTTGAAAGGATGATTGATTGCAACTATGAGAGAAAACAGAAGAAAAGAAGAAACAGTTATACTACACCATAAAACTCTATTGTTCTTCAACGTCGTATGAAATGTTTTTATCAAAAAAGAAAATAAGTTGTTGTTTTTATTTTGGCATCACGCTGACCTGTATGTTGGAAGAATAACAGGAATCGTTTGTGGGCCTATGATACATCGTTTAACTAATTTATTTTTGAATTTCAATTGAATTACTTAATTGGATCATTCTCTATTGTACGGAGGTAATTTTTGGCCATTCTTAATTTATCTGTAAATTAATTTCAGCCATAAATTCCCAGCATTTCATTTTTCGGCCAACATAGATGAGAAAAAGGAAACTCTCAAAAGAACGACGTTTTAAAGGTACTGGGGGTGTCGTATTCTGGAATCCGATACAGGAAAACTAAATCATAACTTGGAGGCACAATATGTTAAATTGAAAAGGAAAGTGTCTCTGATAATGTTAATAGAGGGTGAGATTGTGCTTTTGGAACTCCCTGTTTAACAATATCTTCAGAAGCGTAGGCTTTTTATGAAGATAAAACCAAATTATACAAATTTTTATTATCTCTATAATACTGTTATATTTTAAAAAGTGATTCATATAAAAATTACAATAATCGTTTCACTTTGGTATTCAATAGTAATAAGGCAAAATCAAATTAGGAAAAAATAAGAAAATTTTCAAATCCATTTATATAACAGATTGTAAAAAAGAAAGCGAGAAAAGAAGAGAAAAAAAAAGAAGCCTTTACTATTCTAGAAGCTACATCATAATAAATTGTTCGTAAAGACAAGCGATCGGTATCAAACATAACAGTTTAAAACTGTTGTAAAAAAATATTAATTTATAACTAAAATATTAATTTATTTAAGAAAACTTTGGATAAAACAAACTAGTAGCTCTATAAAAGTTTCGGTCATGAAAGTATCATAAAAACTAATCTGATAAATTTTTACCACAATTGTATAGAGTATGAGTTAAAATAAATAGTGTATACAGGCTTGGATAATAATGCATTAAATAAATTTGATATCTAGAATAAGAGAACGAGTTTGTCTTCAATGAAAACTCGAATGGTTTATTATTTCAAGATGTTATATAGTTTCAATGGTCATCCACAGGTAATTAATTAAAATTTGACTAAAGAATAATTTTACTCTTCAGTATATCGTCTTTTAATAATTTGTGTCTATACAATAAAATAACAAATTTGAAACATCAAATATATAGTACGGTCTGCATTTTGAGATAGTATTAACCTTACCGAAAGAGAAACAGGATCGCTATTAGAACGTGGACGTTTTGTTGTATGACGAACATGATTTTCAGGAGAAACACTAACTATATTCACATTAGGTTGAGTATCAGATGGAGCTAAAATAAACGATAGATGCTTTTGTAAATAGTGACAAAAATAGCTTTCAATCGACGACGATGTCTATTACCATCAAGAGTACGATTACTATCTCTGACTTCTTCAGGTCCTAAACAAAAGGAACACACACACAGACTTGATATTATTCCAAGGATGTTCTTTTTTTATAAAGTTTAATATTACCATCTAAACTATTTTCTCGATTCTCTCTTGGTGGTGACGGATTATTATCATATTCACTTAAGTTCGTAGATGGTAATTCTTCATCGTCAGTAGAAAAATGTGAAGAAGGCGAACTTTGTCCACTAAATGTAATTGTATCGTCATTATCTTAAATACAGAGACACAAAAGAAAATGAATATAAACAAAATTTTGTTTTTAGTTTCATGTCAAATTGGGTTCATAACTAACTCACTTTCAACAAGAGTAATCCATGAAGTAGTTGATACTTGATCAACAATCGGCAAGTCTTCTGTTGGCAAAAGGAATAAAAATAAAGAATATTAGTTTCCCATCAGTTGTTATACAACTGTAAAGACAATTAAGATTGATAAATGTCTTACCAGAATGATTGTTCATTAAGTGGACTCCGTGAGCAGGCATATGTTCAGTTTCTTGGACACAGTCAGAAATTAGTTGTGAATGATCTTCTTCTTCTATTGATTCTCTTTCTTCAATCATATGGTCACTTTCAAGACGATGTGTTTGTATTAAAGTTAAGTTAGTATCAGATGTGAGAATAGGTGTCAGAGACATTGCAGGAGTGGCTCCGAGAGAATCGTCATCGTTGATGATCGGCGATAATAATATTTCGTGATTGGTCGGTTGTGATACCAATTGTTCTAAAATGGAGATACAAATAAATTTTTGAAACAAAGTGAATCTATTGTATTTTTTACCATTATCAGTATTCACTTCCGTTTCATCAATATCTCGAAAATCAATTTGAATTTCATCCAGAGTATGATTATCAATTCTTCGTTGTTCAGATAAATTGTTACCAGGATCATTATTAATTTGAGCAACTAAATACGAAAAACCAGGATACTCTTGTAAGCACTGTACGTATTCAAGCATATGAAAAAAAACAATTTTTGAACCGCACAACGTACAAAGGGCCCATATATATCATTAAAATTCCAGTAAAATAAACTAGCGTTCGCAAAAGTTTCATCAAACCCAAATGTCATTTAATTTCGATCATAGCTCCTCTATTCTTTAACAAAATTTTTCCGCATGTCTCCTAGTTGCTTTCTGATTGGCTCTGAAGAAAGCAATAGCGCCATTAGTTGGACAGTAATAACCGAACAGAAA